CGAGGCTCCGCAGCGCGCATGGGCGGAGCCGGGAGCGCGGGCTGCCCCTGCTATATCTACGCCTGCGCGGCGCTGCTGCGGGGCCAGTCGGGACGGAGGAGACAAAATGGCGCTGCGGGCGATGCGGGGTATCGTGAACGGGGCCGCACCCGAGCTACCGGTGGCCACCAGCGGGGCGGTGGCGGGATCTTGGGAGCAAACGCTAGCAGCGAGCCGGAACTACCTCTCCCAGCCTCGCCTCAGTGAGTATCAAGAGAGCAAGGGGGATCCTGTCTTTGCTCCTTAGCCCAGCCCCTTGCTCCGGCTCACCTGCTTAGCCTGTGGCTTGGGAGGTGGGGGAGGACTTATTTTTCTCCCTCGCGTCCCCGTCTACCCTCCCCCACACGTCTCTCTCTCTAGAAGAAGCTGTGAGCGTACTTTACATTTCCGTGAGGGGAAGAACGCCAGCGGGCGCTTGCTCCTGGGGTTGGTGGGCTGCTGGCTGTTGCCCCGCCCTCTCCAACATCCCCGTGCTGGAGCATTCTCTGGCCCTTGCTTCCTGCCTCTGAGGGAAGGCCGCTTCTTGTCACTCCAATCTGTATCTTCGCCTGACCTCATTTGGCTATTTAGGGGTCGAGGGAACGCCCCTTCTCAGTGGCCTGGACCTCAGGGCAGCTCCTGCCGCGGGCGAAGGTGTCGTGCCATCGCTGACGTGGTCGGGCCTTTCGTGGATGGAGGTCTGCCGGTTGCCGGAGGGAGATGATGGTCGGTGGAGGGGCTGTTCCGCAGCAGGACATCTGCATATCACTGAACGCGAGAGCTGAAAAGTACTCTTCAGGTTATCTAGTCTAACCCTCTCATTTTACAGTGAGAAGCCTAAGGTTCCTGGAGGGACAGGACTTGCCAGGCTTTAGACACCTGATTATTGGCTTAGCAGGAACTAAAATTCCAGGTTTCTTAATTCTTGCGGGGCCTTTTTCTACCATTGCCTCTCCCGACCAGTTAAGCTAACTGGATTGAGTGCAAGGCTGTCAAACATCTTTGCTCATAGTATATAGCACATGTGCAAAGCATGTACACAGGCATGTTTAAGTGTTGTTGTGACTATAAAAAGGCCTTAATAAACCAGGTTTAAGTGAACTGCTCAAGAAATGGCCCTTGGTTACTAAACAATACAGTTGTGTAGCATCAGACCTCTTCACACCTTTCTTAAGAACGGGATAATCCCTGGAAATAGACTCCAAACTTGGGAAAGCACCTGATGTTTCCCCAGATGGCAGTACTATATTTGCACTGGTTAATTGCCATAGTTCCTCTTTGTGGGTGGCTCATTGGTTAAAAAATTTCAGATGAAGGATTTTTCTCCTGCCTGACTAATCCCATCCTGATCTGTCACTGGGTCATGTGACAGCACTGCAGTGTGAGGAAAGGAAAAAACACTCGATTCTATGGTTTGCTGAGATGTACTTTTTACACTGGGGCTTATCTGAATTTTAGAGAATGCTTATTGGAGGTTTATATGAGCTGATATACATGTTTCAGGAAATTGACAGATGTTGCATTCTTATGTGGACTTTAACAGTAAATTTATACTTAACAGTTATGAATTCCCTTATAAATTGCATTTGTGTGTTTAAGGGTGCAATAGTCAATTTACATATAATTATTCATTCAGTGTCAATTTGGAGAGTATCACTGAAATAATAACATTGTTTAGAGAGTTCATGATTAAGGTTGGAACTCTTCAGGGAGATGAGTATGATATCACAGTGTGCCTAGCCAGTGACTGAAGAACTTCTGCAGATGAGATTCCTCCTGACAGAATTGTTGCAACATAATGCTTAAAACTGAACCTTTAGAGGGCCAGAATCCTTTTTGTATCTTCAGTGCCTAGTACAGTGCTTGACACATGGAAGTACTTACCATGGCTTGTAATTTGTTGTATAACTTGCATTTAAACCCCTTGTTCTGATAGTTTAGTGTATAGATTCTTAACGTGGATGGAATCAGTAGGGAGTTGGGATACCTGGTTGAGTTGAATTCCCTGCTGTGTCTGGATTATTCTAAAAAAGCATAAATGATATCATACGTAGGCTAACAGCTAATTGCATTTGCAGAATATCTTTTTTCCTGCATTGCCACATTCTTGATTCTAGTTAACAGTTTTAATTGCTTGTGAATAAATATTGATTAACCCCTTAACTTTTCTAATTAAAGATTGATGATACTATCTTAGGTGATACGGTATAGTTATTTAATCTGTGCTTGTTTAACGAATGGAGTAATCTCCCTGAATGGAGTAATATTAGCAGTTCCACTGTACAGATCGGATCCTGTTTTAAAACAATTTCAGGATTATGGGGCTATTAACAAGAAATGGAAAATGAGATGTGCAGGATTGATATAATCTTGAGCGCTTTAGTTGAATTTCTAAAGTCACAAGGAAAGGAAACTTGATTTTCTTTTAAACTTTGAGCAAGGTTGAATAACATACAATAGAGCCTTTGGACGCTAAACATTTTTAATTAGACAATCTCCATTTTCTTGAGATCCTGGCTAGGTTACAGTGTAAAGCAGAGCTAGCCCCAGAAAAGTCAAATAAAGGAATCATTGGCCTGCTTTTTTCTAGAACCTCTCTCTCAGTGCCCACTGTTCAGGGTGTGGATCTGTACTGTACTCTTGTGCAATGGAAGGTGATTGCTCTGGATTTTTGTTTTGGTAATAAGGTGGAGGCTGAAGGAGTAGGTCTCTTGTGCAATGGCTGTTTAATTTTCTCTTTAAAAATTGCACAATCATTAAGTGGCTGTAGTAGTGTTGAACAATCTCATCTCCTGCAGGAGGAAGAGGATGTCGTCTTACAAAATATTTGCCTCTTAAAAACCTTTGTAGAGTTTGGCTTTAAATGTTACTCTGTAAATATATATTGCCTGCTTGATAGTTCAGAGTCAAACATGTGACTTGTTGGTTGTAAAATGTGTTTGGGGTATAATGTAAACATGTTATCTGCTGTGTTGTCATTCCCTGCAGACCCAAATTCTTGTTCATTTGAAAATTTTCAAGAGAAGAATGGTCATTATTTTGTTAAATAGAAATGTTCATGTGATCTTTGAATGGGTTTTTACTTTTTTGAAGAGCAGCTTAATGTCTTTGGCAGCCTTACTCTAAACTGTTATCTCTGCTTTGGGTTGTTAATGATAATGGTGAAGAAAGCTGAAAATATTCTGGGAGATAAAAGGTAGTGTTTAATAGCATTTTCCCTGCTTTTCCCCCCCTTCTTTTGGAAATAGTTTTATTATTATGGAAAAGAGCTATAGTTTGTACATAAACTTTCTTCTAGTATTTATTTGTAGTCCAAGTGCTTGGAACTGTGTCATCTCCATATTTTTTAATTTTACTGGAGACTAAATTCAGAAATACTATAAGGTCATAGGGTACCAGTTTTAGAATTAGGGAAAAAAACAACCAACAAAACAAAAAGACACTTCTAATCCTGGCCTTCTCATTTAGTAACAAATTTCTCAGAGCCTTAGTTTAACTGTAGGATGGGTGTATCAGCCTTTCCTACTTCCCAGCATTTTGTGGAGCTGAAGTAAGGTAACCTTTCCAAAGATGCTCTTTAAAAGTGATGCACTCTCCAAGTTTTTGTTTGGTAATGTTTTTAATTTAGTTTGGGTTATAACAGTTACTAGTTTAGTTTGTGTATGTCAGTTTAATTTAAACCAAGCATGTTGCTTAACCTCTGATTTGTATCTGAAGCAGTCTCCTCCTGTTTTTCATGTTTTCCAGTGAGGGAAAACTGCTGAAGCATCTCCATTAGATTCTTTCCTTTACTTAAACTCTCCAGTGGCTACACTCCATTGAAGAAAGATTGTTTTGCAGTAATGACAAAATGTGGCCACAAAGGGAATTATTGTACAGTGCGTTAAGTAGTAAAAATAATTTATTTTTTCATAGCTAAAGATGTAGACTCATGAAATTATATTGAGTGATACAGCTATGTAGTCTTGCAGATAATTATGAGTGTACCATACCACAAAAAACCAATTCAGTTTTATAATTAGAGCTGCAGTGCAGAGTTAAAGAACAAATGACTCTAGAGCCAGACTATATAAGTTCAGATCCTTGGGCAAGTTACTTAATTTCTGAGAATCATTTTTCTCTTCTAAAACTTGGGATAATATTAGTTAACTCACAGATCTGTTATGGAGATTAAATAAGAATTTCGAGCAAGTACTTAGTAGTGTTGGTATTAATTAATTTGAATGATTACTTACTGGCTTTTTAAAAGGCTGCATAGGGTGTAAAATACAGCATAGGGAATATAGTCAGTAATAATATTGTGATAATTATGGTAGGTACTGGAAATATCGAGGGGGGGTATACTTTGCAAAGTGCATGATTCTCTAACCACTGTGCTGTACACCTGAAAATAATACAAAATAATACTGAATGTAAAATGTAATTGAAAAATAAAATTTAAATTTAAAAAACTTGTTGCAAATTTAGAGACTCTTTTGATGAAGTAGAACCTTATTTTGTGTAGAAGTCAGCTTTATTCACTGTTTCTGGGAAAAGCAATGACTAGTGTTTCTTTTCTTGGTCATGCTTTTGCTCGTGACTGGCAAAACTTCGTAATTTTGAATGAGCTTGAATTTCAACATGAGATTCTGAAACATCATTGTTGTAGAGGATAGAAGTTTAAAGGAGATGCAAATCTTGTCCAAAAAATAAAGACACTTTCAGAACCTGAAGGATTTTATTGATGTTACATTTGCCTATAAATCTCAAAACTAGATCATGCCCCCCACCCACCCTACTCCCTCCTTTCATCCCCAACTGTTTAAGTAAAAGTTTTGAAAACGTCCATGTTTAAAAACTGGGCTCTAAGAAAACATGTTTCTAATGTAGCTCACTTTGCATTTCTACATAGCAATTTTAGAAGTCATTGATAGAATGTTTGAACTCTAAAATGAGAACAATGGATAATCTTTCAGGGGTAGGAATTCTTTTTAAGGGTATTTGAGTATTTTAAATCAATGGAGTAGATTATCATAAAAGTAGCAGAAAATAGGACATTTGGGTCTTTCTAATAATTTTTAAGTAATGACTAATTCTATCCATTCAAGTGACTTAACTTTTTAAATTTGTGACTTTCCTTTTGTCTACAGTTTAAAAAAAAGTCATTTTGAAGCCTCCAATGAGATAAGTACAATTACATAGATATTCAAGCAAATATTTGGTGTTGGGATTTAAATGTCCTATGAGTATGAAAGCCAAGGGGCCCTGATAGTGCTTGCCTGCTCTGTCCCCATGTTTTTTCCAGGGCACTGCTCCCAGGCTGAAGAAATTATGTGTTGAGTTCTGGAGCCCCTTGGTGGACAGACTGGTTATTAAATGGTTTCCTCATTCTCAGGAATCTACATCTGTGACAGAAATCTCTGCAAGACTCAATAAGAAATCGAGCAAGTGAAAAATTCCCAATTGGTTGATACTTCTTAGAACTTATTTTAGGCCTTATACTAAGTTTTCCTCATATATTCATTTTATTTGTTTTTTCAGCTGTTCTGATTACAAAATTAAGTTAGTTCTGGTATTAGAATTACTCTCTCTTGAGTGTTCTGTTTTATACCTGATTACCATTACACTTAACAAGTTATGTGATGTGTGATATGGTGGAAGGATAGCTACCCTGGGGATAGCTACCTTGCAGACTGGCAGTTCATTCCTAGGGTATAATTTCCAGTGGAAAATATAAGCCTCTAAACTGACAGTAACATTTGATTTTTTTTTTTTTTTTAAAGGATACTTACTTTATTTGATCCTCTGGCCTTTCATTCCATTGCCTACTCCCTCAATTCATAAAGCAGTTTGCCTATAGTTTTTAAGATTCCATTTAATGATAGCTTTTTACCTTAACAGACTACATTTTCTCAGATTTCCTTCGTGAGTTTTGTCACTTGTGCTTAAAGTTAAGTTTTCCCTTCCCATTCCTTATCTACTTTGGTAAGTGCCACCTCCTACAAAGTTTTCTTTTTCTCTTCAAAGTGAGAATGACACCTAGGTTTTTCCTGTGTTCCCACAAACCCTCTGCACATCTGTTAGAGTTTCTTAACTTCCCCCTTCTCCATATAAAACTGAACTCTTGAGGGAAATCTGTTCCTCTGTCACTTTTTTGTGTCCTGGGTTATTAAAACGTGACTTACTCATAGTAAGGATTCAAAATGTTTTTGGTTGGATGTGGGTGGATTATGAAAAGTTGTACAGGCACAGACATACTTAATAAATTTTTCATTGAAAAATTTTGTAACTGTTTGAGTGTTCCATATTGTAATGGGTGTGATAAAGTGGAGAGAGGTTTTTGTGTAATCCCAGAGAGATGATTTAGGCTGTTCTATTTGACTAAAGTGGACTCTTCTGTTTTTTTTTCCAGCATACAAGACAGTATCAGGAGTCAATGGTCCGTTAGTGATCTTAGATCATGTTAAGGTAATATACCACCATCATCGTTTAACCACTTATAAAGTTTAAAACGTGGCATTAAGCCCTGTTTAAGTATACTTTAAATTTTAGGTTATGATTTTTAAGCCATTCCTTGGTCTGAATATCAGTGCTGTGTAGGAGACAAGAGTTTTAGATAAAAAATCAGAAGACTGGATTCCAGTGCTGGATCCACTATGGGTTCTGTTTGTGACCTAGAGATTCTTGTTTGCAAAAAAAAACAAAAAAACCCACAAATTTGTCACTCCTACCTCACAGGTTTGTTAGGGGGGGGAAAACAGTAATATTTATGAGTGTGTTTTTTAACCTGTAGGATATTATATAGATATATAGTATCTTATGACTTTTTATAGACTGCCGTGTGTTGTAATTACTTGTTATATTTTTGTCTTGTGTACTAAAATTGTAAGGGCTATGAATGAATAAAGGAAGTTCCTCTTGGTTTTAAACTTTAATACTCTAAAAATGAAAGAATATATAAAGAATTTGACAGCAAGCCTATTTATGGCAATTACCAAAAATATGAGAATTTACAAAACCACACTATAATTTATCAGAAAAAATACAGCAAGTTGTTTTGTATATCATACAACTGAATTGTTTATAATGTCACAAATACCGCAAAAGAGTATATTCTTGGTTGGAAAGAAACACATTTTCTGTTGACAAAAAAGAAAAAGTATCTTTACTAGACAGAATATAGACAGTCACCCTGGCCGGTGTGGCTCAGTTGGTTGAGCATCGTCCCATGCACCAAAGGATCGACAGGTTCTATTCCCAGTCAAGGCACATGCTTGAGTTGTGGCTTGGTCCCCAGTAGGGAATGTGTAGGAGGCAGTGGATCTGTTTCTCTCCCTCTCTCCCTTCCTCTCTCTAGAATCAGTAAAAACGTATTTTTAAAAAAAGAATATAGACAAGTCACTTCCAAAAAGGGTTTATGATATGACAACAAAATAATATTGAGATACTTCCTACCCAGAGAGTATTTTTAATAAAGTGAAATCTATTTTATTTTTACTTGTAAGAATATGCCCATTCCATTTATAATTTATTGCAATGGCAACTTGAATCCTCAAAGCTACTATTTACCTTTTAATAGTCATAATCTTTTTCTTTGTTTAGAGCAGTAACTGGCACTAGAATAATTAACACAATTTTGAATGACTTAAAAAAGAAAAAACTCAGTCACTTTGGGGAAGATCACAAATTCAAAAAAACTGTCTAATCACACATACGTCATACTATTTGGCTAGTGGTCTTTTTAAAAATTTATCTTTATTTTGAAAGTATTACATATGTTCTCCCTCCCCTCCCCCCCATTGACCCTCCTCTACGCCGCTCCTGCCCCCTCCCTAGGCCTTCACTGCACTTGGCTAGTGTTTTGAACATGGAAATCATCTTGGCTATAAATGGTAAGGCAGGCCAGAAACAAACTTAGGATAATGATAAAGTAATAACTTTTTTCTGGAATGTTTCTAATCATGTTTTATTCCCCTTGTTTGCCCTGCCCTTTACCTCCCATCCAGCAAAGGCCTATGCTGGGTTGATCCCATTCCCACAGAGTTTTCTCAACTAGGAGAAAACCCACTGGAGTGCCTTATGTGAACTGGTCAAATGGAATAGTCCATCCTGGAATATTTTAATTTCAGTAAATCATCATACTAAAAAAAATAGATCTTTAAGTGGATTATTTTTCAGAGCCTGGAGGATAGCGAAAGTTTAATGTTTCTCCTATGTACCAGGCTATTCTTGAGAAAAATAGTAGTGATTAGCCCTATTTTGCTTACAAGCTTTTAGATATACTCTTTTTAAAAATTTGTTGACTCTATTACAGATGTCCCTTATTTCTCCCTGCTTTGCCTCCCTCTACTCTGCCCCCCCTCCCCAGGGCTTCCCATAAATGTCTAATTAGTCAGTACTATCAGGGGTAAGTGTATAATGCTATGAGAATCAATAATGTAAAGGACTTAGAAAACATCTTTGAGGAAGTAATTTCAAGAGAGCTAAAACTTAATTGAATGTATGTTTGGGGTATACTTCCAGCTGAGGAAAAGCTGGTGAATTTTATGTAGTTTTAAGAAGGCTTTATACCACCAGATTTAGAGTGATTTTTTTTTTTGGTTTGTTTTTAGTTCTTGGCTTTTGTTTTTGACTTAAAGCATACATATAGGATCAAGGAACAGGTAATGTTATACAGATTGTATCAGTATAGAAGAAGATGGAGACTGCTACCCAATTCATTTTAATGAAATTAGCACATCTTTGATTCCCATACCAGACAAAGGGTAATAAAAGAAAAATATAGCTATTCTCACTTATAAACACAGATTCCAAAATTCTTAATAAAATATACTCATGTATTAGATATTAGCAAAAATATGCAAAAAACCCCCAGAATTACGACAGAGTAGAGTTTTTCCAAGATATATAGAGATCCTTGATATTAGAAAATGTATCAGTGTAATTCCGCTAATTCATGGATTAAACTAGAAAAAGCTCATGCCCTTCTTAATAAATACAGAAAAAGTATCTGATAAAATTACACATTTTAAAAAAAGTCTCTTGGAAATAAGGACTAGAACAAACTTCTAGGCTCTTAAAGGACGCCCTCCACAACCCACAGCAAACAGCATGCTTAAGGGGAGAGCAAGGGGAGAATGCTTATTGTCACCACCACTACCTGCCTTTGTGCTTGGAACCTAACCAGTGCTGTGGGAAAAAGAAATTAGGGAGTAAAGGGATTACAAAGAAAAGGCACAGCTAATCATTTCTTGGTGATATGATTAACTAAACAGAAAACCCAAGTCATTCAGTGGACAGACGATTAGAAACAATGTGTAAAGCAGAGTTGCTGGATACAAGGACTGGTCTACAGAAATCAGTAGTGTTCTGTACCCCAGATTAACTAATTAGAATTTTAGTACCTACTTACAGAAAACTCTAAAACTTTTTTGGAAGACATAAAAGAAAGCTTAAAATAAGTGTAGATTCCATGTTCATGAATGACAGAATAGCAAAGATGTTGATTCCCCTAGGTAACAAAATCAGTTAGAGATAATCAGGAATAGAGATTTGGTGCAGGAGTAAGCAAGTATATCAGTGGAGCAAAATTAAGAACTCTCCTCACACACGAGAATTGGCCTTGGCAAATGGTAAAGGCTACATTACAAGTCAGTGGGAGACATTTTGTACTACTCAGTAAATATTAGGGTATTTGGCTTCTTATATGAAAAGGAATGAAAATGAGAAAAGTAAAATTAAATACCAAAAATAAGTCCAGATGGATTAAAAGCCTGAAATGAGAAACCTATTGTGGAAGACAGTGCGAAGGGCCATTTTAATGACTTCAGATTGGAAGATTTTTCTCAATAATACACAAAGGCACAAATCATAAAGGAAAAATTACTTTATTACATAAAAAGTTTTAAAACTTCATGCGATAAGATACCATAAACAAATTAAAAGATAAGAAAGTGACTGGGAACAGATATTTGCAAAAAGATCAGTATCCAGAATCTGTAAAACTCCTACAAATAAATAAGGAAAAGTAGATCCAGTTGAAAGTGAAGAAAAGATTTTAATAAAACAGTCAGGAAATGAAGTCTGAATTGTCGGTAAATGTGAAAAGATGCTCAATATTAGTAGAATCAAGAAAATACAAATTGGAAAGATGCTATTTTTTACTTTACCAATGGCAAAAATTAATGTTTAATAATAATTATATAAGCTAGCAGAGATGTAGGGAAAAATACTTTTGTATACTGGCTAGGGAGATTGTAAATTAATGCAATTCTTTGCAGAGTAATTTGGCAGAAGATGGGCACAGCCTGTAGCCCACCGCTAGGTAATTAAATACCTTAGAGGAACTCGGGCACACTTGTGTGAAGTGCACATGTGAGAATGTTCATGGCAGCATGTTTGTAACTGCAAATTTGGAACAACCTTGAACTCCATTGGTGGAACAGCTGAATAAAATGTGGCGTCATTTGACTTTATTTTTACTGAATCTATTCTAACATTAATTCTGAGATGCCCATACATTCACATGTTAGCATTTCCAAAATCAATGGTCCGTGATAGTTTAATTGGCAGATGTTTTTCTTCACACAAAATAGTAGTGCATCTTTCAATAGATTATATTGATAAAGTAAGGTCAGTATTACCATGACAGATCCAAAACACAAGGTCAAGTGAAAAAAAAGTTGCAGGGTGATATATTTAGTATGTTGCCATTTATATAAATGAAACCTCACTATATTGTTGGAAACATGTATTTAAAATATTAAGAATGGATAGAAGGAATACATATCTGGTTAGGAGAATTAGATTGAGGGGGGAACATTAATGTTATTGTACTGTAATAGTCATTATTTTATTATTTAGTTGCATTTATCCCCCTGCTCCCAAAGCACACAGGAGATTACACAAACAGCCCAGGTTATACACATAGCAAACATCAGTTCTGAGTAGGGAAACATGCTTATTTGTAAGTTCTGTACCTTTCTGTAGTCTCAAAACTTTAAAATATACACAGAAGAAAAATATTAACTACTGTGTTTTCACAGATTTAAGACCCTTCTCTCTGTACCTTATGCTGGTTTGCCAGTGTGTATACCAGTGATTAGTGTTTTAAGGACTTAAACTACTTGAGAATGTCATAAACTCCTGGGTGTACCTTTGTGTGTCAGGGAGGTAGTGGGATTGCATATGGATATATGCTTTGATCAAGATAGAGCATATGGAGTATTTTGGGGAGCTTTAAACCCTAACCCTAAATCTAACTAACCCCAACCCTATAGTTAGTTATTGATCCTTTATTTTTTCCTAGTTTCCCAGGTATGCTGAGATTGTTCACTTAACATTACCAGATGGCACGAAGAGAAGTGGGCAAGTTCTAGAAGTTAGTGGTTCCAAAGCAGTGGTTCAGGTAAGCATCACTTTTAAAACCTGGCCAGTTGAACTTTTTCCTAATCAGAAAAATGTAAGGAACACCGCATGTTTTTTCTAGTCATCATTGAATAAGTGTACCTGGGGGAGGAGTGGGATTATTTTTGCATGTTTCTTGCCAAATGTCAGCCACTTACGTCCATTCTAGCCCAATAGCTCCACTGGTAAAATGGCTTGTTTTTTTTTAAATGGGTAAAATGAAGCAGGTAATCAAATAGAAAGAGAGAGATGAAAAGCAGAAATCACAGCTTATGGGATGAAACCAAAACAAGATCTGCGTCTGTTTCTTTAAATTGTCTCCTATAATTCTTGGTTTTTTAGTGTTACTGATTATGGGAAATGCCATTTTTCGCAGAGAACATTGTTCACTTAAAAAGTAATTTAGAGCAAGGGTCAGCAAAATTTCTGTAACAGGCCAGATAGTAAATTTTTTAGGCTTTGTGGAGCCACCTACGGTCTCTGATGCATATTTTTATTCTTTCTTTTTTAAAAAACTTAATTCTTTAAAAATGTAAAAAACATTAGCTTGCTTATAGGATTAAATGTCTTACCGGCACGACCCTTGTCAAGAAGTTGTGTTTGTGATATTAAAAATAGTGTACGTTTATGTATTTGACTTTATAAGGGCTGACAAAATCTAAGTGCTTATGATTTAAATTTCTTTTACACTCCTGATTACTTCTCTTTCTTGGTAGGTATTTGAAGGGACTTCAGGTATAGATGCCAAGAAAACATCCTGTGAGTTTACTGGGGATATTCTCCGAACACCAGTGTCTGAGGACATGCTTGGTAAATTGATATTATTATTCATTCTGATCAGAGATCTGTTTTCTTTTCAACATGTTTCCATGAAGTCTTTTAAAAAACGAATGTTTGTGCTATTGTCCACTTGTACTGTCGTACTGCTTTACAGGTAGGGTATTCAATGGATCGGGAAAACCGATCGACAGAGGTCCTGTTGTACTGGCTGAAGACTTCCTTGACATCATGGGTAAGGACAGTTAATGGATTTCTATCTTTTGTGAAAAATGGCCTATATCTGTCTAGCTTATATTGTTGCCAGATAGTGATTTTTATAACAACATGCTTCATAATTATTTATTATTTAATAAATTTATTTTTCCTAGAAATCACCTTAAAATTTTATGTAAATATCTTAAGATATCACTAGGGTATATGTGAAATGTAAATAGTAAAGCTATGGCTTTGAAATTAGGATTGCTTTCTTATTTGCTATACCTTTATTTCACTTTAGGAACTTGGGTTCTGCTACCATGTATTTCGTGAGCTTACGTAAGACTAATGGAAAAAATTATCTAAACAGTTCCATATTTCAGCAATAACTGATAGTTTAAGAATAGAAAGAAATGCTTTATATGGTTTTAGTCTTCATGTACAGACATATTAAAATTTTCCCTTTTGGAAATGCATTAGGCCAGCCAATCAATCCTCAGTGTCGCATCTACCCAGAGGAGATGATTCAGACCGGCATTTCGGCCATAGATGGAATGAACAGTATTGCTAGGGGGCAGAAAATTCCTATCTTCTCTGCTGCTGGCTTACCACACAATGAGGTGAGAACTAGAATCTGTTTGATATGAAATTTTACAAGGAACAATTTCTAAATGCTTCACATTAGTGAGAAACTAAAGGGTTTTCAACATGAGTCCCCAGTGTTACTGTTTATATAATCCATGTACTGTTTATCCACTCATGATAGCTGTCTTCTTGCTTACTCTTAGGATTCTTTGCAAAAAGTGCAAAATAGTTTTGTTGGGTAAAGCCCTTAAAACATCCCAATTTCATTTATAATTACAATTTCAAAAAGTTTAGGATAAAGGTATTTTGTTGTAGAAATGTTATTTCAGATTTAAACTCAGTGCTTTTGTACTCCTCAGATTGCAGCTCAGATCTGTCGCCAGGCTGGTTTGGTAAAGAAATCCAAAGATGTAGTGGACTACAGTGAGGAAAATTTTGCAATTGTATTTGCTGCTATGGGTGTAAGTACAATTATTTTCTGGTTTAGTATGAAATAGAAAATTAATTGCTTAATGTTGTTAGAACAGTTTAGAAAATTACACATGTATCACTGAATTTATCTCTAGGTAGAAAAGTTGCAACTTGGCATTTTAGGCAAACTGAAGATTAAAATTTGGCATTTGACTATAATAATAATAATTCTCTTTGTGCCCAAAGCAGGCTTTTTACTCTGTTGGCTTTTGTGAAAAATTTTTGAGTACTTGAAAACTTTAAAGGAAGGAACAATGCAGATCTATAGCTTGGTCTTCATCAGAAATGCATATTGAGAATGTTTCTTCTCCCAGTACTGATGAAATCATTGATTGCTATTTAGGTAAACATGGAAACTGCCCGGTTCTTCAAATCTGACTTTGAAGAAAATGGCTCCATGGACAACGTCTGCCTCTTTTTGAACTTGGCTAATGACCCTACGTATGTAAATAGAGCTATTTCTTTCTGTTCATCCAAGCTTTGGGTCTAAACTGTTACCTAAGACTAGGGAGGTAAAATATTATAATGAAAGCAACTTGGGCTTAAGAATGAGATACCTGTATTTAAATTCCAGTTCTATTTTTCGGTAGTTGTTTAGCTTTGGGCAAATCACTTTGGCTCTGAAGCTCAATTTCGTGTTCCAGAAAATATGACAAATAGTACTTGTCTCACAGGGTTGTTGTGCATATTAAATAATACATATAAATTACCTACCACACAGTTTGTACTCAATAAATGATCTTTTTA